GACCCAAGGACTTGGGCCATCCTCCACTGCCGTCCCAGCTCATAAGTAAGGAGCTGGATTGGAATTGGAGCATCCAGGACTCAAACCAGTGCCCAAATGAAACACCTGTGCTAAAGGGAGAGAATTAGCCTCTTTTACACCATGCCAGTCCCAAATTTTTCATTTTGTAAATCTCAACCTATGTATCCATTAAGCAACAATTCTTTCCCTATTCCCCTAACCTGTAAAACCTACTATTTTAGTTCCTACACCTATCAGTTTGACTACTCTAAGCACCTCATGTGAGTAAAACTGTACAGTATTTGTCTTTTTGTGACAAATTTATTCCACTTAGTTTAATGTCCATCCATAGCACAGCAAGTGACAGGATCTCTTTCATGTCAAGGCTGAGTAATTGTCCACTGTGTACACAAACCACAAAAAGAAAACACCCCTGAAAAATCTCTATATCCCAAAAAAGAAAACACATAACACTTTATTCCTCCAATTGTAGCTGACTTACAAATATCAACTTTCACTCCTGTATGACATGTGTAATACACCAGACACATTACCACATTTGAACTTGGCCCATTTACCTTGGACAGATGAGACTGAAATACACAGAAATGAGGCAACTGACTCACAGTCACATATAGTATGCAGAAGAAAGGATAATAAACTCTAGATCATCAGCTGTCTCAAGGTAGGAACATGTCCCAAGTTACTAAAACATTATGTAGCTCAAGGTAGGCACTGATGAAATTATACAGAATTCACTATGATAATAACATCACCAAAAACATAACATAGGATGGGAATCCACTGTGGCACAGCAAGTTAATCTGCCTCCTGTTATATAAGCAACTCATGTAGGTGCCAATTCAATTCCTGGGTGCTCCATTCCCAATCCAGTTCCATGCTACTGGGCCTGGGAAAGGGGCAGAGGATGGTCCAAGACTATTTCCATGTTAGAGACCCAAAGAAAGTTCCTGGTTCCTGGCTTCCGTTTGGCCCAACCTCAGTCACTGTAGTTACTTAAGGACTGCACCAACAGATGGAAGATTGATCTCTTTCTTTCTCCTACTTCTTCCCTGTCCCTCTCTTTGTCTCTATGTCTCTATAACTCAACTTTTCAAAAAGATAAATCTCTTAAAATAGATAAATAAGTAAAGCGCCACACAGTGGCACATCAGCCAATTGCTCTACCTGTGATGCCAACAACCCATGAGGGTGCCAGTCCAAGTCCTGATTGCTCCACATCTGATCCAGCTCCCTGCTAACCTGCCTGAGAAAGCAGGAGAGGGTGGTCCAATTGCTTGAGCACCTGCACCCACACAAGAGATCTGGAAGAGGCTCCTGGTTTCCAACTTCAAGTCAGTGAGCTCTGGCCATAGCAGCAAGGTGGAGGGTGAAGCAGCAAATGGAAGATGGATCTTGGGCCAACTTGGTAGCCTAATGGCTACAGTCCTCACCTTGGAAGTGCCGGAATTGCCAAGTGGGTGCTGGTTCTAATCCCAGCTGCTCCACTTCCCAACCAGCTCTCTGCCTGTGGCCTGTGGAAAGCAGTAGAGGGTGGCCCAAAGCCTTGGGACCCTGTACCCGCACACAGGAGCCCCACAAGAAGTTCCTAGCTCCTGGCTCCTGACTTTGGATAAGCTCATCTCTGGCCTTTATGGCCACTTGCAGAGTAAACCAGCAAATGGAAGATCATTCTATCTCTCCTTCTCTCTGTAAATTTGGGTTTCCAACAAAAATGAATATATCTTTTTAAAAAAGAGAAGATTGATATCTCTATCTCTCCCCTTCTCCAATTTTGACTTTTAAGTAAAATAAATCCTCTGAAAAAATACATATATAACAGGAAACTGTAATCAATTGCCTCACTAACTAATGGAAAAGCCTCCCTAAGAATAGAAGTCATGAAAAATAGGATTAATAATTAAAATGTGAAAATCAAAGACTTCTGATTTATAAAAAGCCCAGAAATTCAGAGGAAAGTCAAGCTGTCTTCAAAAGCACCACGTGCATATATAAGAGTCTATGCATTAATTTGTCTTCCATTCTTCTAACAAAATAATCGATGCTGGATACTTTAGAAAGGATAATTTGACTCAAAGTTTTTCAAGTTGAAGTCCAAGAAAGGGCAGAACCATTGGTTCCGCCCCTTGGAGGGCCCCGTGCTGATGCCATGGGGGGAGTTGGAGACAGAGGGAGAGAATCCTAGGGAGACACAGCGTGCTCTTTTATCACTAAGTTCCACAGAAATGGCCGCAGTTCCTTCTGAGGACAGTGTCCCACTCCTCCATAGCAGCCCTGGGACACAGGACACAATCATCTTCCACTTGGGATCTTCTTACAGGTTCTATTCCAGTATTACCACACTGGATCAACCTTCCAGCCCTGGGCCTTTGAAGAGATAAACTATTTCCAAATGATAACAAGCAAGCTCCCAAAAAAGCTCCACAAAACAAAAATTAGAGGCCAACAAACAAATCAAGAGAGAAAAAACAAATTATTCTTCAAAATATGAAAACATGTTCAACTTCATTCATGCCAAAAGAAATCACTCCTACTGCTCTAAAGTTATCAAGTATTTCACCTAATAGACTTCAAAGGGTATAAAAAATAGCTTCTTCGGGCCTGGTGCAGTAACCCAGCAGATAAAGTCCTTGCCTTGCACACACCAGAATCCCATATGGGTGCCAGTTCTAATCCCAGCTGCCCTGCCTCTCTTCCTGCTCTTGCTTATGATGTGGGAAAGCAGTTGAGGATGGCCCAAAGCCTTGGAACCCTGCACCCATATGGGAGACCCAGAAGGAGATCCTGGCTCCTGGCTTTGGACTGATTCAGTTCCAGCCATTGCGGCCACTTGGGGAGTCAATCAGCAGACAGAATATCTTCCTCTCTGTCTCTCTTCCTCTCTGTGTATCTGACTTTACAATAAAAATAAATCTTAAAAAAAAAATAGCTTCTTCAGGGTCAGGACTGTGGTACAGCAGGTAAAGCTACCACTCATGGCACCAGCATTGCATATGGGCACAGGTTCCAGTCCAGGCTACTCTACTTCCAATTCAGCTCCATGCTGTGCCTGGAAAAGCAGCAGATAATCAAGGTCCCTGGTGAGCTACACCTGGAAACAGGGGAAAAGCTCTGGGCTCCTGGCTTCAGACTAGCCTAGCTCTGGCTGCTACAGCCACTGGGAAGAGAATGAGTCAATGAAAGATCTCTCTCTCTCTCTCTCTGTAATGCTGCCTTTCAGATAAACACATAAATAAACCTGGGGGTGGGGCAGAAACAACGTCTTTATTGCTATTGGAGCAGCAACAGAGAAAATAATTTATGAGTACCTATTAAAATTAACTATAAAATGTTTTACAATCTAACAATTTAATCTAACAATCTCACATCTAGGGATCAATATTTTTACACAATATACAAATCAGAATGATATATATATAAAAGCATTATTTATAAAAACAGATTACAATTCTGTCAAGTGACTGATAATATAACACACCTGTAGCTTTCAAAACAAAAGAAGAAATCAGCACTGTGACACAGCGGGTTAAGCCACTGCCTATGTGACACCAGCATCCCATATCAGCACCCTTTGAGTGCTGGCAGTTTCACTTCTGAACTAGCTTCCTACAAATGGGCCTGAGAAAGCAACAGAAGATGCATCAAGAGCTTGGGCCCCTGCCATCCACGGGGAGACTGGGGCAGAATTCCAAGTCCCTGAATAGAGGCTTGCCCAGCCCAGGACACTGCATTCATTTAGGGAGAAAAGTAGTGGGTAGAAGCTCTCTCTTTCCAATTTGGTCTTAAAAATCTGTACATGCAAAAACCACTTAGGATATGCAAGAAAGTAACAGTTATAGTAGTAGCAGAGAAGTTGTTGAGAAACTCAGAAAGGGCAATAATATAAGCAGTGTTTTTAACTTCCTTTTTTCTTTGGTGGGGGGAAAACAGAATGAATGGCAGGCACTACACAGTCTAAACATGCAATGTTAAAATATACAAATGCAGGCATCCTTTTTGGGCACTGGCTCAAGTTCCAGCTGCCCCACTCCATTCTGTCTCCCTGTTAATGTGCCTGGGAAAGCAGTGCAAGATGCCTCCTGGCTTCGACATGGCCCAGCTGAGGCAGTTGCAGCCATCTGGGGACTCCATCGGAAGATGGAACAACTCCTCTGTGTGTTCATCCCAGTCATTCTCGCCTTTCAAATAAAATAAATAAAAAGAGTTCTCAAAAAAATACATCAAAACTTAAGGAGACAGGTATCAGCATCTCTTCATATTAAAGCAATAAAGGGCCTCAGGATGCTAAAAGTAACATTTACCATTAATAGCATTCATCTAGATAGAAAAAAAAAAACCCTTCACAAACTCTTACCTAGAACCAAAAAAAGTGGCTTATTTTTCAAAAGCAGTTTCTAAGATTAAGATGTTACAATCATTAAAGTTAATACTTAATCAGAAATATGTAGATAATTTCTGAATAAAATAGCCAATGTTTAAAATTTTCCACCCACAGCAGAAAAAAAGGTGTTTCAGTACAAAGCATACATAAGTTACACACAAATATTGATTTAAAGAATTTAAATTTATTGATTTTTATTGCAAATGCAAATTTATAGAGAGAAGGAGAGACAGAGAAAAAGATCTTCTACCTACTGGTTCACTCCCCAAGAGGTCGCAACAGCCAGAGCTGAGCCAATCTTAAGCCAGGAGCTTCTTCCGGGTCTCCATGCTGGTGCAGGGTCCCAACACTTTGGGCCACCCTGTACTACTTTCCCAGGCCACAAGCAAGGAGCTGCATGGGAAGTGAAGCAGCCAGGTGCCCAAATGGGATCCTGGCACGTGCAAGGCAAGGATTTAGCCACTGAGCCATCACGCTGGGCCCAATAAAATTTTTAATGAACACTATTTCATTTGAAATATTTTGAATTACCATTCTTGGAAAATGCTGTACCACTCCAGTTTACAATAAAAATTGTTTAAGATATCTCTGCACTTACCCCCATTATCTGTTCTTTTTAAAGCTCCATCCTTATGGGGACACAGTTCACATCTCTACAAAAAAAAATACAAATGAAATGAGACTTTGAAGATGGGTCAAAAATTTTAACATCTCCCTGCAACTTTCAAAATGTAGAAAATGCAGGAGCAAGAATTTGCATTAGTTGCCATGATGACTATTACAGATCTTTTCTCCCAAAACAACTGTTCTCAATAATGTGTAGTCTTTTTCAGAGCACCAGAGTTATCATTTTTAACAGCACAATTTTATACTTAGATTGCTGCCACAATTTTTAAAAAGATTTCTTTCTTTTTATTTGAAAGGCAAAGTTACAGAGAAAGGAGAAACAGGAAGGGGAATCTTCCACCTGCTGGCTCACTCGCCAAATCCCGCAATGGCCAGAACTGGGCCAGTCGGCAGCCTAGAACTTCCTCTGGGTATCTAACACGGGTGCAGGGTCCAAAAACTTGGGTCACCTTTCTGCTGTTTCCCAGGCACATTAGCAGGGAGTTAAACTGCAAATGGAGCAGCCAAGACTCTAATCAGTGCCTATATGAGATGCTGGCATTGCAATCACAGGCTTAACCTACTACATTAGCCCCAGGAACCTAAATGCAGCTGCTTAGCCTACTACACCACAGCACCGTGCCCCATTACATTTTTTTTAAACATCTGATATTAACAAAAACAAAATAACCAATCCTCCCAAAATCAGAGTATGCTAGGTTCCAACATTTCTTTGCCCCTAACTCTACTCTGTATAATCAAGTAGTTCTAGTTTCTCCTGAACAGTCAAACTAAGAATTTAACATTTTGTAACCAGCACTGTGGCACAGGAGGTTAAAGCTGCCACTTGTAATACAACATCATATGTGAGTACCAGTTCAAATCCCAGCTGTTCCATCTCTGACATGGCTATCCAATGTGCCTAGGAAAGTCGCAGGAGATGTCCCAAGTGCTTGGAGTTCCCACATGCAGCTCCTGGCTTCAGCTGACCCAACGCATTGTTAGTGGCCATTTGGAAGTTAACCAGCAGACAGATCTCGGTGTCTCTTTTTCTTTCTCTCTCTCTCTCTCTCTTTTTCTCTTTCTCTCTCTCTTTCTCTGTCACTCTGTCTTGCAAATATATAAATAAATTTTTTTTGGAACATTTATTTAAATGGCAAACTATTTTAGTTGCTATTATTATTCATAAACATTCATAAGTAACTGTAGATCCTTCTCCCTATTGCCTCAAAAAATTAATATGGAAAACAAAAAGATTAATACTATTATTTCCTTTTACTATTATCAAGAAAACAGTACAAGGGGAAAAAATGTTTTAAAGATTTATATGGCACTGTTTTACCAAGAAAAACACACTTCCAGACATCACACCTAAATATTTATTATTTATTTATACCTCACCTTGTTCCCAAGGGGCTTGGGGGCCCATAACTAAAGTTACACAAATAAATTATGAAAGTAAAATAATAGTATGAAATTAAGATGGAATAATGAACAGAATACAGAAAACCTAAGCCAATGAAGGAAGGCCTATGTATTTCTTAACTTACAGTATTTTTCTTTTGTAACATTTTTCCTACCTATTTGGAAGTACCTCCTTGATCATCTTATGTAAACAATAAACAGTATATATAATCTCATTCATTGTCTAAAATTCCCATTAACATTTAAAGTAAAAAAACTATACCAGTAACTCCTTTTTATTTTCTATTTATTCAGCTGTGTGCTCATATCAACATATAAAATTTCTAAGCTACATCCAAAATTGATGAAAGAAACCTCTTCTGATTCTTGCTATGCGTATAATAATCACACGTTGAATCACTCCTTACTCTTCCCAAATACCTCAACATAATTTTTGGACAGTTACACATCCTACCTCCCTAACCTCGCATTTAATCCATCACCACATTTTGCCTTTCTTCTTTCTAAAAACTACTGAAATTCCACTATTTGCTTCCTCCTCTACTACCATGTTGGATAAGCCAACATCACCTTTCTTTAGAAAGACTACTTCAACAACTGCACATTCTCCTATACTCATTCTTCCTCAATTTGAAATTTTGAATTTGAAAGTCAATGTCACACAGAGACAAGGATAGATACATCATCTGCTGGCTCACTCCCCAAAAGGCAAAAAAGGCCAGGGGAGGCCCACGCCAAAGCCCGGAGCCAGAAAGTCCTTCTAGATCTCCCATACAGACACGGAGGCCCAAGAACTTGTGCCATCCTCTATATTGGAGACCTAAAGACGGCAGGCTGCACGACCCAGAGAGTGAAGCAGCAGATGGAAGGGTTCTGTCTCTCTGTCCCTCCCCTTCTCTCACCACACCTGAGTTTCAAATTGGAAAAAAAAAAAAAAAAAAGAAGAAGAAAGAAAAAACATCTCCCAAGGGCCAGTGTATTTGCATAGAAAACCAATCCTCTGTCTGCACGTGCAAGTATGCCATATGTATGCCAGTTCATGTCCCAACTGCTCCAATTCCCATCCAGTTCCGTACTTGTGGCCTAGTAAAGCAGTCAAGCACGGCCCAAAGCCTTGGGACCCTGCACCTGTGTGGGAGACCTGGAGGAATTTCATGGCTCCTGGCTTCGGATCAGCACAGCACCGGCCAGTGCAGTCACTTGCGGAGTGACTGGATGGAAGATCTTCCTCTCTGTCTCTCCTCCTCTCTGTATATCTGACTTTGCAATAAAAATAAATCTTTAATAAATAAATAAATCTTAACACACACACACACACACGGACAGGAATTTGGCCTAGCAGCTAAGATACCATTCCACAGCAGAATGCCGATACTGGACTCCCTAACCCAGCTCCTGATGTGAGCTTCCTGTCAATGCAGACAAACACAGAGAGGTAGCAGATGATTTGAGTGACTGTGTCACTGCTACCTATGTGGGAGATCAGAATTGCATTCTGAATTCAATTACTCTACTTGTAAATATAAAAAGAAATGTCAGGACCAGCATTATGGCACACCACGTTAAGTTGCTGCCTGCAGTACCAGCATTCTACATAGGTGCTAGCCTGAAACCCACTTGCTCCACTTCCAATCCAGTTCCCTGCTACTGTAACTTGAGCCCCAGATGATACTTCCAGCTCAAGGCTTCAGCATGACACACCCTGGCCGCTGTCGTCATTTGAGGAGCGAACCACAGATATAAGGTTGTCTGTCCCTTTCTCTCACTCTCTCGGTACTTGCCATTCCAATATAAATGATTAATCTTTTTCTTTTTAAAAAAAATGACATTGGGGCCCGGTGCGATGGCGCAGTGGTTAAGGTCCTCGCCTTGCACGCCCGGGATCCCATATGGGCGCAGTTCTAATCCCAGCAGCTTCACTTCCCATCCAGCTCCCTGCTGTGGCCTTGGAAAGCAGTTGAGGACGGCCCAAAGCTTTGGGACCCTGCACCCGCATGGGAGACCCAGAAGAGGCTCCTGGCTTCGGATCGGCATAGCATCGGCAGTTGCGCTCACTTGGGGAGAGAATCATCGGACGGAAAATCTTCCTTTCTGTCTCTCCTCTCTATATATCTGCCTTTCCAATAAAAATAAAATAAATCTTTTAAAAAAAATGACATTGAAGAAAGGATATAGCACTGATTAAAACTGATCATCATTACCATTTATATACTTCGACTCTAATACATGAAAAATATAAACAAAACTATTTTGTATGATTGTTTAGAATAAAAATTTTATTAAAAACCTGGTAGCACTGAGGTAACTAATGCTCTATACACAAATATTTTAGCCAAGTTTAAAAACTATATACAAGACTAAAAGAAAATACATAAAATACAGTTAACAGGACTATGCTTAGATTACATTTTTCCTCTATTTGAAATAGAATGTTTCATGTGTAATTTAAAATTGCAGAAATACATTAGTAAATATCATTGAAAGTGCTAAGAATGTTGCCTACATAAGTCTTAAGAAGGAAAAATGATTATAAGAAAAATAAGTTAGTTAGAAAAAAAATCTGATGTGAGCCTTCAGATCCTACAATTAACCAATCCAAAGTTAAAAGTTTCACAGTGCTTTCTGCAAATTTACTTGGCAATTACTAAAATCCACTATCTCATTCTTGTTTTATTTTAGTAAGTGAAAGGTAGTATTTGAAGGTTATAGATAGATTCCAAGAAAAGGAACATAGATAACAAAGACACAAGGGATATCTACTGAACCTCACAATATACTAAGGAAAAACAGTATGCTAACTGAAATAGGAAAAAATTTTTCAAAATTGTTTGTACTGAAAGGAAAATGTATATAGAAGAAACAGAAAGATATTCCATCCACTGGTTCATGCCCCAAATGGTCACAACAGCCCGAGTTGAGCTGATCCAAAGCCAGAAGCCAGGAACCTCTCTTCCGAGTCTGCCTCACAGGTGACAAGGTCACAGGCTTTGGTACTTCCTCTGCTGCTTTCCAAGGCCACAAGCAAGGAGCTGCATAAGAAGTGGAGCAGCTGGGACATGAACTGGCGCCTATTTTGGTTCCCAGCGAGTACAAGGTAAAGATTTTAGCCACTAGAGCCACTAGGCCACCACACCAAGCCCAAAATAAAAACTGTGTAACATGTTCTCTTTTGTCTTTGGTTCAAGACTTTTCTTTGTTTTATGTTTATTTTGAAGGCAACTGCAAAAAGATAAAGAGGCCGAGATCTTCCATCTGCTGGTTCAATCCCCAAACGCCCACAATCAGGGATGAGGCAGGCCACAGCAAAGAGCCAGGAACTCCAGGAGGATGTCTCATGTGAGTGGCAAGAAACTAAGAAGCCACTTTTTCTGCCTCTCAGAATGTGGGTGAACATTAGCAAGAATCTAGATTAAAAGGAGAAAGCAGTTGAGGCTAGCCTGAAGCCCAGGTTAAGTCACTGCCTGAAACTCTGGAATCCCATATGGGTGGCAGTTTGAATCCCAGCTGCTCCATTTCCAATCCACCTCCCTGCTAATGTGCCTGGAAAAACAGTGGAAAATGGTCCCCATCATCAGCATGGGAGACCTGGATGGAATTCCTGGACTACAATTGTAGTCACTTG